TTTTTTTGATAATAATCGTAACAAAGTGAATCGATCTCGACTACTAGGGACTAAAGTCGAGTGGATGTTTTACAAACCTTGAAGGCCATTGTTAAGAAGATTTGGTTGATTTGAATCGGCTGAGCGACTGATGATGTCAAACGTTATTTCGGACTGCTTTATATACCAACGATCGCCCGCTACCATTTATACTCCCCACCAAATTGTTCAGGTTTTACCGGACTTTCGAAGTTTGGTTGCAGATCGGATCAGTGGTACCGTACTTGAACTTGGCCCGTATATGGGCGGAGCGCGGACAAAGTACCATATGCTCGATCGTGTTTCTTTTTTTATTCTTTTTTATTGTAAATAGACTAGAAGCGAAAGGGCATTGGTAATGAAATGAATTGGTTGTTAATGACCGATACCCCATTAACAGTGAAATTAATTTGTTGAAATTAATTGGATGAAGCTGCGTATCTTAATAGCTTCCCTTACAAGAAATTCAGCTCCATCTTGACACCAATTTAGTATTATTTGATAAGTGATAAAGCTTTGAGGAGAGCTGCTTGATTATTTGTAATAATTTTGTTCCAATTTCTGATGGCTGAAAGGGTAGATTTTTATGGAAATTTGTACTTTTGTATGAACGCAGCTAAGGATGATTACAACGTGTACGTCTATTGTTTTGGTACCTTACATATTTTTTTATCTCTGCGAATTTTCGCGTCTTTAAAATCCACAGTCATAGCGACGACTTTTCTGAAAGAAAAAGATCTCCTTCTGCGTTATGTAATATCGTAAGTGGCTTTTGCAGTGAACAATCGAGGTCAGCTTTCCCGAATATCGTCACGATACATTTTAAATTGATCGTGCAATATTTGACAAACATTTTGAAAAATATCATACAGATAAAAAATTCTTCTCTCCACATTTAAGTTGAGTCTTTTTTTTTTATACTAGACTTAATTATTTGTACATTCTCAGTTCCATTACGATGTAATTTCAATCTTCTACAATTAATTTCGAATTACAATTCATCGAATTTGTGCAGGTATATTTTACAACTGATTGGGAGAGATTCCGTCTTTACGAGACCTTGTCTGGTTCAATGATCTGAAAGAAATAGACAAACGAATCAGGCTAACATCATCTGCTATCGTAGACAACAGTTTAAACAATCTGATTTTTAATATTTTTGTTCTTACAAAATAAAATTCTATGCCATTCTATTTATTTAGTCTATTTTATTCTATCTTACAAAATAAAGTTTTATTCTATTTATTTAGTCTATTTTATTCTATCTTACAAAACAAAATTTTATGTCATTATCATATGAAAGAATCACATGATGAAAGTGTCATATCAGTCAATCAACCAACTAATCCTGCTCCATTTTCTCCCACTTTTACTTTATTCATACTTCAAACTTTGAAACTCTTACCAAACGTATGTAAATCATACCACTAAACTTTTACTTCATTCTGAAACGTGAGTTAATTTAATTTTAATTTGTAGAAAATTCAAATATATACTATGGGATGCCTGTAACATATAAAATATATCAAAATAAATTACTCATTGTAACATCGGAGAAATAATTAAAAAAAAAAAACATGGATAAAGATTTGTTAGAACAGAGTTGAACACACAGAAGAAAGAGATCTCAATTTATGTAATTTACCCTTTAGTTATTATTCGATTCTTCCTTTTAGTCCATAAAAATGTGAATTCACAGTCTAATCGTGATTAAGAGTCATCATCATCGTTTCCAAGAATTTTGGCATTTCCGGCGCCGGTTGAATGCAAATCGATTTTCTAAATTTCGATTTCCAAAATTCCGATGCGACGCTAGGAAAGAAAGAAAGAGCCAGAGAAACGAGAAGGAGGAGGCGGTCGCGAAACTTTCGAACGACATATGTATGTGGCTGGTTGGATCCCGATCTATCTTGATCGTTGCGTCATATCTAACGTCGCCGGTGAAACAGAAGTGGAGCACTTTCATAAAGAATAAATAGGTGGGCCAGAAGAAATCGCAAAGCCCACGTGGAATCGATCGAATTGCCTCGGGGGCCATCGAACAATCTGTACCGATCTTGATCCAAAATCGACTCTGTGTTTTCACTGTACATGTTTTTCTTTTTCACGAGGTGTTCTGCATCCGGCAGTATTTTTCTTTCTTTTCGTTGTTTATGCTGCGAATCTCCTGCTTTAAATTTCACTGATTATAAGGAAGGAACTTTATAATATTTAAGATTTAAAAAAGGAAACGAGGAAAAGTCGTTCTTAATGGTGTGAAGAGTGTAATAGAATAGTATAATAGTATATATATAATCTAATATATAGTATAATTTATAATCTAATAGTACCTATAATTATCTATAATCTATAATCTAGTATAACAGTATCTAATATAATCTATAATATCTATAACTATAATCTATAATATAATTTATATCTATATCTATAATCTATAATCTAGTATAATTTATATTCTAGTGTAATCTATAATCTAGTATAAGCTATACTCTAACATAATCTACTACAGTATAATAATATCTATAATTAATGGAAATTAGTATCCAGTATCTAATCTATCTAGTATCTAGTATATATAATATCTATAATATTTAAGATAGTATACATAGTACACTATATAGTCTAGTATATATAATATATAAGATAGTATACATAGTACACTATATAGTTTAGTATATATAATATCTATAATATCAGATAGTATACATAGTACAGTAGTTTCACAGTGTCCATCTAGATAAAAAAAAAGAAAAAAACGTGTCAACTCGTTGAGTGAAAGCTCTTTTGCAATTCCACGGAACTTCGCGAGACATAATTTCATTATACATTACACAACAAATATCAAGCATAATTTCAGCTGCTTGCCAGATTGAAATTAACAGACATACATTCGACTTTTCGCTGATCGACTGAATTAATCAATTAACGATATCACTGCATCTGATGTATCTATCGCATTCAGAAGATTAAAATAACGCAAAGATTATGGTATGAGTATTCAAGCAGTATGAGTATTTAAGTATTGGTATTGGTATTTAAGTATTACATTTTCGTAATGAAGGTCAGAACGAACACGATCGATCGATGGAATTGCCTTGAGCCATCAAGCAATTGAACTGATTCTCACTCAAAATTGGAACGTCCGTCTTCCACGGTTCTCTAGGCAAAAGCCTGTAGTCGTGAAGTCAATGTCACAACTCGAATTTAGGCCTTCCGCACTTGTTGCTCACTGCCCGCTGGAATTTTAATGTCTCCTCTTCTCTTCCTACTCTTCTTTTACCCCGCATTATTCACTCGCTTTACTAATTGCGCCGGATACCAGGAAATTTTGTCAGAGTCGGTGCGTTGTGTCGAAACGTTGATTGAATAGGTCACTTTTTCGACAAGAATGAATACCTTAACATTCTTGGTGGTGCCACATTTCTTGTTTTTGGGACAGAAAGTTCTTTTTCTGAAACATTGAATTGTTGAGTCTCTTTTTAAAAAGAAATTTAATACCTCCAATGATACTGAAGCTCTTTTCTTTCAAATATTGTGCACACCTTGTGTGAACGTTTTACCTGTTTTATATTCTTAATTATTTACAACTGTTTTTTTTTTTTTTTTTCTTCTGAAGCAATAAAAATATCAAAAGTGTCGAAACGTTGATTGAATAGGTCACTTTTTCGGCAAGAATGAATACCTTAACATTCCTGGTGGTGTCGGATTTCTTGTTTTTGGGACAGAAAGTTCTTTTTCTGAAACATTGAATTGTTGAGTCTCTTTTTAAAAAGAAATTTAATACCTCCAATGATACTGAAGCTCTTTTCTTTCTTTCAAATATTGTGCACACCTTGTGTGAACGTTTTATCTGTTTTATATTCTTAATTATTTACAACTGTTTTTTTTTTCTTCTGAAGCAATAAAAATATCAAGACTATTGGATTTTTTCACAACGAGGATAGATTTTTTTTTTTAGTAGTCTTCATTGCTTCATTTTGCCTCATGGTACAGCTAGCTAATCTGAAAAAAAAAAGAAAGAAACGAACGAACTTTAATTCTCTTCTTTTTACAAATAAAGTCTCAGTATCCTTTGTCCATTTGTCATTTACATTCTGATTAAAAGTGTCTCCTGCAGTGTGGGTCTAGACGAACAAGAAAAAGATATTAAAGGCGATCCAGCAAAAACAATGTCTCTCTAATAAGTTCGACATAATAAAAGTTTCCCTATACACCCGTTAATCGTGCAAAATTCGATCAGTCTCTTACGTCATCAACTTCTTACGTCACCGATAACCGCAACCTCGTTCTCTTCTTATTTTTTTTTTTTTCACACCAATGAAAAAAAAGACCGGTTGATTTCACCAATTATGGAAGAACTCAAGGTCATGCGATACAATATATTCTTTTTTTTCATTGGCTTATAGTATAACAACCGGTTGCAAACAATTATTTCATTTAAATTATCGTGCTCCTACTCTTCTCGAGGTATGCATGTTATGTTCGAGTGGTTTTGACGGTGCACGATTTCGATTTAAATTTCTCGAATAGATTTGCATTTATTTTATATTATATTTAGTTTAATTTTTCATTTCATCTACGCTCACTTATATCTTTTTATTTCACAAGTTGCATGGCAATACTCGTACGCATGTGGCAATGAATTAATTACGACGTACATACATACGATGGAGAAAATAATTTGAACGAAGAATTAAGATTGGACTTTCATGAGATTGTAGTGAAATGAACGATAATAAAAAATCGAATGCAAGCAGTTAGACATCTTCAGTGGCACTTAAACATCGAATAATCATTAATAAACGAGAAAAGGAACGTTCCACTATGTCCGTGCGAATTAAAATCAACTCCAACGTGTGTTTTATTTTAACATTGCACGAAAGAAATTGAAGTTTGAAAAATAGCTGAATAAAGTGTCAAATAAGTAGATTTACGTTTGAGTATCATTTCCGTACGTTACATATTTTGAAAAAAACAGTTATGTCTCAACAAATATAACTATGGGTGTGCTGCGTTTAACATTTTTTCGAAGTCGATGCAAAGAACGAGTTATAATTACAGTGAACATCAACTGTAATTTGGCGTGTACATTTTCCTCGACACTTTCACTTTTCTTTACACGATAATGTATATAATGCATCGAGTAGGTTGCAAAGCCAACAAAGTGTCTTAATTTTATATTCAAAATCGCTATATTTAATGAAATGGAATATTGTTCCATTGAGGTGAAGAAAACATAATTTATACTTTTATGTATTAGCACAGGTAGTTAATGTGCTTCTAAATCGAGAACATCGAAATAATTAGTAATTACACAATTCTACGTAATTAATAATTAAGCTTATTATCAATTTATAATTCAATAAACTGCCTGCATTTCGATGGGTTGCTATAAATATCTTCATAATATAAAAATAACATCCAATTTCAGTGCACGTATGTGTATCAAGTGCGAGACCTACAAAGAACAAAAAAAAGAACATAATTTTAATATATAAATATTTAAACGTACGCCGCAGATATTAATTTAAAAAAATAGATATTAAAGTTTAAGCAAATTTTAAGCAATATTAAATTAATGGATATTAATTTAAAAAGATAGATATTAAATTAATAGATATGAATTTAAAAAGATAGATATTAAATTAATAGATATTAATTTAAAAAGATAGATAATAAATCAATAGATATTAATTTAAAAAGATAGATACTAAATTGATATTAATTTAAAAAGATAGATACTAAATTAATATTAATTTAAAAAGATAGATAATAAATTAATAGATATGAATTTAAAAAGACATTAAATTAATAGATATTAATTTAAAAAGATAGATATTAAATTAATAGATATGAATTTAAAAAGACAGATATTAAATTAATAGATATGAATTTAAAAAGATAGATATTAAATTAATAGATATTAATTTAAAAACATAGATATTAAATTAATAGATATGAATTTAAAAAGATAGATATTAAATTAATAGATATTAATTTAAAAAGATAGATAATAAATTAATAGATATGAATTTAAAAAGACAGATATTAAATTAATAGATATTAATTTAAAAAGAAAGATATTAAATTTTAAGCACAACGTGACAAAAACAAAAAAAAAAGCAATAAATTATACGTGTTTAAGAATAATCAATAACGAAGGAAAAGCGTAGGGAAAGAAGCAGATAGGGCGTTTCCATCGAAGAGAAGTCTCAAGGAAGGATTAAGTAACTCGTGGCAAGGACGTGGCCTAGTCCTAATCGACAGAGAAGGTGTCCACAATGGTCCAACGGTTATCGTCGGCTGATCGAATTGTTCGTGTTGGGCGTAGTCCGATTTCTTGCTCAATTTTGTGACCACTCGGCGGCCGCAAATCGAAGGTACCGTCACCCAGTTACGTCAGCGTGCCCCGTGGGTCCTGGCCGCGCTGTATAAAAGCCGAAAACCACCCGTCTGTGGTATCATTCGCATCACAGACAGACAGATCGAGAGATCTTCCAATCAAACGAGCTACAATGGCCTTCAAGGTATTACGAACTTAGGAGTAATTGTAATTTGTTCGAGGAGCGAACTTTTACTTACGAAGCTCTCCTCTCAACCATCAAGACGCACTTACTTCCATAGCAAAATTTTTTATTTCTCGTACTTTACCTCGATTTATTCGACTTTCTTTTCTGGATAAAAATGTTCATTTAGTCTACAGTACATTTCCGATCGGTGCTTTTTATTCTGTGCTCGATTGAAAGTGAAACGCACGTCTCCTAACTTCGATAATCCTCCACGTGCATACTATTATAGGTGTAGCACCGCTATCCTTAGAAATTAAACTAGTAGAGTCTACATAAATCAATTTACACTTACAATTAAAATCATCTACCATCTATGTGATAACACTGTCAGTAATCGTAGCGCAGTGAACAATTTATTTGAAGCTTCGTTCAGCTAAAAAAATCAATTACAAATGTTCACCGCCAAAAATTTCCATCTAATCACGACTAATTGTTCGCAGTTCATCGTCCTCGCCGCGTTCGTAGCAGCAGCCAACGCTGGATTCCTCCGCACGGCGGAACCTTTGACCTACGCTCCAGCGGCGCACTTGGCTTACTCGGCGCCAGTTGCAGTGGCTGCTGCCCCCGTGGCTAAGGCAGTGGTAGCCAAGGCCGTCGACGCCGACTACGACCCCCATCCTCAATACAGCTACGCTTACAACGTGCACGACAGTTTGACCGGCGACGCCAAGAGCCAGCAGGAGACACGCGACGGAGACGTCGTCCAAGGCAGCTACTCCCTCCTCGAGGCTGACGGGACCACACGCATAGTCGATTACGTCGCTGATCCAGTAAATGGATTCAACGCCGTGGTCCGCAAAGAGGCAGCTGCTGCCCCCATCGTCGCCGCTGCTCCAGTAGCAAAAATCGCCGCCGCTCCAGTCGCTAAAATCGCCGCCGCTCCGCTCGCCTACGCCGCTCCCGTTGCCAAAATCGCCGCTCCAGTCGCTTACGCAGCGCCAGTCGCCAAAATCGCCGCTGCTCCGCTCGCGTACGCCGCTCCCGTTGCCAAATTCGCTGCTGCCCCCTTCGCATACGCCGCCCCTGCTCAAGCTTTGATCCACTGAATCCGATGATCCATAGGTTTAGGAACTTTGTTTGTCGAATAAATATGTTTCTTTTTTAGCAAGTATGTGAAAACGGTTGTGCTCTTTCTTTTCTTCCTTCACTCTTCTTCCACCGTTCTGGCTGAGTATTTTTTTTTTTTTTTAGTTTAGAACGGTTTTCAGTTTCAGTTTCACTCTCTGTAACTTTTCAGTAACGAGACGGTTGGATATTTCATCTCCAGCGGTGCTTTGAAAATGACACAGTGAGTCTGAACACATTTCAATGCTGAAAAATTGAAGCGACGACGTCATAAAATCATTTGTATAAATATATTAAATATAATAAATAACGTTAAATATAATAAACGCATCATTGATGATACGAAAGGATCGAAGAGTTTATAAATGATATGAAATAGGACAATCTTGCCCTTGTATTTTCAATTATTCTTAATATACGTTTGCTGCCGTTTCCATTGACGATTCACGGACAGGCATCGATCTCCAACACTTTCTCTGCCAGTGCCAATGTTGCTGATTACACAATGGTAACTACACTTCACACGCATCGTTCGTGTGTAATGCACGTAATGTAAGCCGTTGCGTTAATCGGAAACTCCAGGCAAACCAGATTCTTGCAATGGTGCAAACCTTGATCTACTTACGAACCAACATACTTTCTTTCGTGAACGTTTTTATCACTTAATCGAGCATATTCATAATTGATTCCGAGATGATATTCGATCAAAGTGTGGCGTGAAATAGTATACACAGTTGCATGAATCTCTGACGTTACAAAAGAAATACATTATTTTTTCAGTCTAGTAGAAATTTAATACTTCAACAGTATACAGGATGTTTCCGACCCGATGGGTACAACTCGAAAAGGAGTGATTCTACATGAAAAAATGGAAAATACAATTGTTTCACTTGAGGCTTCATTTTTGAGAAAATCGAGTTTGAAGATCTATCAAATATACTTGAATTTGGCTAATTCTACACTTGAAGACGGAGCTTCAAATGAAAATATTTTATTCTTTCTCTTAGATTTATTCTTTTTTTTTTTTTAATGTAGAGTTGCATTCTTTCTGATTGTATCATCGAATCAAAAATACCCCGTAGAACAATAAATAAAACTATCAACCTAATTCAATTTTTATAAAAATAAACGCTTTGTTTTGGTTGGATTTTATTTAACAAAACTATGGCTACGGATATATTACTTTTACGAGTACAAAAATATATCTTACATGATTTACATACCTGCATGCATTTATTTAGCAAGACGTCTTTAAACTAAGTCAAAGATGTGTTTCACTTTTAATCAGAAATTTACTAAAGTTTATCTTTATACAGTAGTCTCTTAACGTTTGACTTCAACAGATATAAATCACATTGTTGACGTTCTAATCAACAAACACAGTACTTAATCTAATTAAGTATTTTGCCTTTTAACTAATATATATTATATTAACGTATTTCATATAAAATTCGAAAACAATAGAAAAATACATTTAAATAAAATATTGTGACTTGTACTCAATTATGAAATACTTTTTTTTTTACTTTTGACTTCCTCTTTCTGGCGGAGCTAGCCTAAAAATGTAATATATAAAATGTAATATATAAAAGTTATCCTTTTTATTCATATCGCATCTTAGGAACACAAATTTATCTTAAATTTAATTATATAACATAGACAACTTACTTATGAATTGTTACATAATCTTCTGCAAGAATATTAGACGTGTCTAGAGGTGTCAAAAATGTGAATTGACTTTGTGGATGCATTTTAGTATGATCCAAAAGAATGTCCATTATAATACGGCGGTTTACCTTATCCTAATTAAAATGACAATTAATTACTATAACATCAATTATTATATACAGATTAAGGAATTGTAATACCCATAAACTTATACCATAAAGACGTCAAATTCATCAAGAAAATAAAAAGGCAATCCGGTACAATCCCAAAGTGCTAAAATAAAGGCAACAGTGGAATATGATCTTTCACCACCTGATAATGACTTTGCATCATTAATTGGTCTTTTATTATCGTTTGGCGAATATACTTCAAGTTCAAGTACTTTTCGGGCGTGATCAATTTTTATGATACCCTGCAAGAACAATTAATTAAAAATATATCATCAATTGTTCCTTTCTTTCAATCAAAAGATACACATACTTTTTTATTTCGTAAAGCAAGCACATTTGAGAACGAATTCTGAATTTTTTCGCCATACATATGTTTCATGTTAAGAAACAACTTCTTTCGAGAGTCTAGTCGTTCTAAATGCATCTGTAAGATACATACAAACATAAGCAAATATATAAATATATAAATAATAAGTTAAGTAACTTCATGTATAAAATTTTATAATTCACTTGGTAATTTTTTTCAATTTGAGAAACCAAATGTATATCTTTGCCAAATTTTGCTTCTTTTTCTTTTAATTCTTTGCGTAATTCTTTTATTGAACCAAACATACGTTCTATTTCACGGATTTTATACTTCAAATCTTTAGACAATCTTTCAATCTCATTAATTGACCTGAAAAGATATTAAATCATTTAATGTTACACATATTGTCGTGTTAAATTCCCCTTAAAATTTTTATAGGCAGACATTCATTTCATTAACCTTGTCGTATCTATTCTATCACATCGATTTCTAGCATCCGATATTGCTTTTTCCGTACATCTTTGCTGCTGTTCAAATTCTGCCGTCGCATTCTGTAAAGCTTGGCGTGCTACCAGTAATCTTTTTGTAGCATGACGAGTTTTTGCATGAAGTGCTTCTTTTTCATTCTGTAGTTCTTTTATGCTTTGCTATATAAAAAAATCATAATAAAGTAATATATATTAATAAAACTAAATTATATTCCTTATATACCTTTAAAGGATTAATTTTGGAATCTAGATTTTGCCTTAGTTCTCTGTGACGTTTAACTTCTTCTTCTAAAGATTCAATTGTTTTCTGTAATTGAAGTACATTAGCATTCAGGTTTGATTCTTCAAACTTTTCTTGGCGTAATTTCTTCTCCAACTCATTTAATTCATTTTTCTGTGTAAAATAAGATAGAAATTCACATAATATTCAAATACTGACAAAATGATATTTATATCTAGATATAACTTACAAAAACAGTCACAGATATAGCTTCATTATCCTCAATTTTATCTTTTAGATCAGCGATTGATGCTTTACATTGATTTTGAATAGTACGAAGTTTTGTGACTTTTGCACTAACAGAACTTAACTCAGAACTTATACGTTTTTCTTTTTCACTAGCTGTTCTGTATGACATAATGGCAGCATTTTTTTCGTTATCTATAGTACGAATCTCTTCTTCCAAAGCACTAATTATAAAATTATATTTGTAATATTTGAAGTAAGAAGAAAAAGACTTGAAAGAAAATAAGAATCATACTTAATAGAATCTGTGATAGAAACTTGAAGAAATCTAGCTTTTAAGCTACGCGGTCCACCATAACTTCTGTAGTGTGGATCTGGGTAGAACGTATCACCCCGTTGAGTGAAAGCCCTTTTACAATTCCGTGGAACTTTAGAAGCATTAGACATAATTTCGGCCGCTTCTTTGCTAGATGGAATTAATAGAATACATTCAACTTCTCGCTGATCGATTAAACAATTAACGATCACTGGATCTGATATATCCATTGCATCCAAGAGATTGGAATAATGCGATGATTTGGTACAATGTGCATGGACATCATGAACCTAAAACATATACGTATATAAATATATACGATCTACTTATACCATATACACACTAGGACGTAAACTGCGAATTAATTTTCTTACAGTATTATAAAATTTACTACATATAATTTGTGGAGTTCTTTCGTTTAAATAAATTTCTCTCATAATTGTATTTAATACTTTGGCATCGTGACTGTTATCTACACAAAATGTACTAAAAGTACTTGCTCCTAAATAATGTTCAACAGCAGGAGCCCATGCTGAATCTTTCATTTTTATGTACGCTCCTAAATATAAAGAACATGTAATAAATCAAATATAGTCATAGACGTAAAATAAATCTTATCTTACCAAGTGGACCTCGTGGCTTTTCTCTAAAACGTCCATTACTATATTCTTCTTCAATTCTTCTTAAAAGACGTGGTATATTTCGCCCAAATACAGTTAATGTATTATCAGAATCTTTTTTCCTTGCATTTAAATCTAATTTAATTTTTTCTTTACAAAAAAAAAAGATGCTATTTAATTTTATATTTTGTACTGCGATATGAATTTACTAATAATATTATGAAAGCAATTAACTTAGAAATAATACGATTCTTACCTATACGTTTTTCACAATTATTAATTTCTATTTTTGAAGCTTGAACTTCTTTCAAAAGACGCATCTTGTCGGTTTCCAGATGCATTTGACAAGTTTGATTAGTTCGTAATAACGCCTCAGTTTCATCTAGTTTTTGTTCTAATTCAGCTAATTGTTGTTTCATTTCATTTCTTTCACTTTTTTCTGCATTATCGCCACTAAAAATAAAAGTGTAGATGTAATAGCGTTATATAAAATTGACATTGTATAAATGCAAAAAAAAATTATATTTATTAACCTTTCTAATCTATGTATTTCCTTGCAAAGTATACCAATATCATCTTCTAATCTTTTAATTTTGTTTTGAACAGAACGCCATTCACGTATTTTAATTGAATGCATGTCTTTATTTGTACTATATTCTTGTTTTGTTTTATTATATATTTCAGAATTATTATTGACTTCTTCCTCTGCAGATTTAATTTCTTCTTCTAATTTCCTATAAATAAAACAGCATTTATTATAAATTAATGTATTATATTTTATTACGGAAACCAGACCAAATTGTGAATCATTGCATTACAGCATGCAGTATGAAAATGATAAGAAATGTTATCATCTTCATACGCTAATAATAGAAATATAAGATATACGTCACTGAAGGAGCTCCAAAGTAATGTCGTTATTTGATTATTAATAAAAATAATAATATAAATAATTCGTACTGAATTTTTGTATTTATTTCTTTATCTTTTGATTCTGTAGATGATCCTATATCTTGAACTTGTTTAAAAGTATCTTGGCATTTTTTAAAAACTTGTTCAGTGTTTTGTAACTTTGTTTCTTCTGCTATAGCCTATGTAATAAAGTATATATTTCTAAAATTTTTTAAAAAATTAAATAATTTTTACTAAATAATATATATTAAATATATATTACTTACAATTGCCCAAAGTAATTCCTTATCGAGATCGATTACTTCATCGCGAAATTTATCGATTTCTTCTGCCCTTTTTATATTTTTTTTTAGTTCTTCTACCTCTTTTCTAACATCTGCTAAAATCTATGCAATATATATTAGTCAAATCTCAATAATTCAAATCTCAAGAATAAAGAAAAAAATCTTCATATTATAGTTTCATCTTACAGAATATTTTTGAGTAAGAAAAGGTTAACAAATAGATATTTAACTTATGGAAACTTTTTATGTACAATTTTTATATAATAAATATATAATAATTATTATAAGAATATATAATATATAATAATTTTTATAAGAATATATAATTTTTATAAGAAAGAAGATAACTAGAGTATACAGAAGGAAGTGAAAAATGAAAAAATTAGTTAGTTATTCCTTTAATCTTTTTTAATTGTGAGAATCAATCCAATCCTATTAGATCAATTGATTAAATATAGATTAAATATAGATTGATTAAATATTGATTAAATTTGGCTTGTAAAGATTCTACACTTGTACTAAATTTTTTATTCAAATTATAAATGTAAAATATGTACTAAACATATGACAAATAATTCAAGTTAATGGATCTTTATATTTCAAGTTGTAAAAAAATATTTACGGTGAAACAAAATAAAGAAAATTTCCGAGTTATAGAGATTTGACTGTACATCAAATAGTTTTTATTCCAAAAATATAACAAATACATACCTCATTATACTGTCTCAATTTTTGATATTCTTGTTCACATATTAATTTAGCTTCTTTATAATTGATACCAATTATATCTAGTAACGTTGCTTTCATAAACAATTCATACTTTTCTTCTGGTTTGGATGATACTAAAAATGTTCTGGATATATCTTGATTTAATATAGAAATAGGATTGTCTATTTGAATATTCATTGCTCGTAATATATTATTCAGTTCGTTTCGTTTCGTTGAAATCACTTCGCCTATGATAAACAATTCAAAATAGATTCATTTAAATACAAGTGAAAATTAAACTATAAATAATGCTTTCATAAATAACAACAACTTGTATAGTATGAATGCAGTGATATTACCTCTCCAATTCTTTAATTTATAAGAAGATGTAGTCCCAATACTCCGAAGAACTGTTATCGAATCACCATAAACGTCAGGTTTGTATGCCATAGATCCCTTATTGAATAAACTTATTTCGATAGTAGCTGAATTTTTTCCTTTTTTTATAAAATCTAAACAGAGGAAAGAGAATGTAAGAGAAAGGGAAACCTACAAAGAATGTCATTCTATGTAATATGTTTATACTTTTTACAGAGGCTCCACGATTCGTCACATTTGCTTTAGCACCAAGGCCAACTGTTAAAGCTGTTAATATTGCACTTTTGCCACTTCCATTACGTCCGATAATAAAATTTACATTTGGATTTAATATTACTTCCAATGCGTCGTGACACATGAAATTTCGTATAAGAATCCTTTTTATTTTACCTGTTCTAGACTGGAAAATCAGACATAAATATATACAATTGGTACAATACAATACATAACATAACATCAAAATACTTATCAAAGATTGTATCAGATCTGATAACATTTTTTCATATTAATAACGATGAATTAGGAAAATGTAAGTTTGTTAGAATTACGTTAACCTTACCTCTTCTGTAAAACAAAAACTATTTTCTTTCTCCTTGAAACGTTTCATATGATATTCCATTGCTTCAGATTTTCTTTTCCGTTTATTGTTTGTATCATTTTCCATGATTTAAATGTTTTATAATCTTGCAACGTACAGATCGTATATTCATTCAAGTAGGCGTATAACAACAAGTTTCACAAACACCATCTTCCTGCCAATTGTCATTTTGCTACAAATAATCTCGAACTATCATGAAAATATGATGCTTCTTGACGAATCAAAATATTTCACTCATCATCGAACCGCTGCAACAATGAACTTTTCGGAATAAAACTGCGTCCCAACGTTTCCCGCCAAAGAGAACTTGGTCACTTTAATTCAACTTGTACTACCATTGTACACGATTTCTATAGAGCGTCTACTAACTCTGTACCAATGATAACATCGTGTTATAAAAACGAAGCTTGATGTCCAGTGGCGGGAAAAAAATTTGAATTATTTACACAAATTGTACTGATTTAATTGATAACAGAAATATATTAAATGCAATATTTTCCCGAACAGATCGATTTTAATTACAAAAGCAACAAACAAAATAATAAGTAAGAAAATAGAAACTTCTGTGTTACTGTAAGTAAGATAATAGAAATTTTTGTGTTCTGTATGTAAGTTTTAGATAAAAATACATGATTGTAAAAATATGTGTGCAGATTAGAATAAAAGAGGGATAATATACAAATATTCACTTTATATATATAATTATAATTATATAATATAAAATACTAAGAACTGTAATATATATAATTCTCATATATTACCATAATCATACAATATACAATAGTTCTCGGATATAATTATAATTGTACAATGTAAATTTATTATTTTATAATTCATAGATTAATTTATAATTCATACAAGATAATATTCAATATACAAAATAATTTTCCTGTATATAAGAGAACTGCCCATATTGCAAGTTGCTAATGTAACAAATGCCTCTGCGCAATGCGTCTCTCCCCACCACCTGTTGCACAGACCTTTAAAATTTAAATCGTCGTCGGTTAGAGTCAGTTGGTCCAAGTGCACGGTTTAACGTGCATGGTTGGAACTCGATGTCGTTCATTATGTGATGAAATTAAGTTTATATGCGGATTGCAACCTGTTAATATACGCTACAATTTTTATCTCGGGGACGATATATTGTGTTCCGGTTCAAACACATTAGTTGCAATATATTTAATGAAGAGAAAGTAGAAATTATTCGTTGCAGAATGAGTGATTCTGGAGATAATGTTAAGTACAAATGGACCCCTGAAAGTACCTCGCTATTGGTATCGGTATGGTCGGATAGGCAAGTGCAAAAGCAACTCGAGTATGCCCCGAAGCCGCAACCTGTTTGGGACAGTGTTGCCCGATATATGAAAAAAAAGGGGTACAATGTTTCGGGGAAACAATGTCGGTCTCGAATGAAACAGGTCTTGGTATGTTACCGCGAAGCCAAAAGAGCTGGCACCCGCGCTGGTGTAGAGCAATACTATGACTCAATTGACAGGGTTCTTAAAAATAAGCGTATCGAAGAGAACAATGTTGTTGGCATAGATACTGTGGGTAAGATTCGTTTTTGATTATTAGGATTAATAATCTAAACTTTATAATCAATATTTTAAAACGTTTAAGTGTTTAATACAATTAATACGTTTTATAATAAGGATGTCACTTTTTGTTTCTTGCTAGATGCAACAGCGAATGTTAAGTCTCCCCCGAAAGAAATGAAGACAAATAAAAATTTGCAAATGAGGCATAAATTTCAGGAGCCTGTACCATCATTGTATCGCACGGAAGCGTTATCACCTACATGGACATTAGGACGTAAGAATTATACTTATTTATCAAGTAACATCCTAAACATGTTAAAGAGAATTCAACATGTGGATTATTTTATAGGTGAAAATGAATATCCTGATTCCCCTGAATCTAATGAAACTATAATAGCTCGTCCGCATAGAGTCTTTTCTCCTACGAGGGATGCAGCTATTAATACGGGTGAACAATTAACTCGAATAGCTGGTAAATCAACGCAGTGCAATATTTTTCCAATAAATGAAGAACCATTAAGCGTTAATTATAAACAAAATTTAGTATCGAATTTTAATTATGGAGAAATTCCATTTCAAAATGCGGTACAAAATGTGCAAAATCAAATAATCCAGGAAAATATGCAACAACATCAGAATCAACAACAGAATCATATGTGCAATGGGCAAAACGCGTTGATAAATAATTTAAATCTTCAGCAGAATCTACAAAATTTAAATCAGGGTTTGACGCAATCTGTAAATTTGCCAATGCATGTTAATTCAATGGCAATGCAAAATCCTAACGTAGAGCATATAATTCAACAGCATCATTTGCAGCAAGTAAGACATGCAAATAATCGTGCAATGCCTCAAGAACCACAGAAAATTACATTACAACAGACTTTGGTAGATATGTACAAACAGCAGTATGGCGATTTTCCAACTCATATGCCTGCTGATGCAAAACAAATTGGATCTTTCTCTCCAGATTATTCACCAGATGTATCTCAAAATTTAAATGATGCTTTTTGTCAATCAAAAAGTGATGACAAAACACCTGATATAAATGGAGCTTACAGTAGAACTATACAGGCAATAAATCCATTAAGAATGCAAAATCCTGAGATTTCTGTAATTACGAATAACGCAACATATAATGATGATAGCTTGTTAGAATTTCTGATTGAATCACCAACTCCATCTGAAAATGACAATAAATCAAAAGATACTGCTGTTAATACAGATAATGTTCCACATGTGCCATTAAGAAAAAAGAAAGCCGAAAAATTAGAACAACTAATGTTAAATGCTATTAATTCTCAAAATGAAGTTGTTAATAAGGTAAAGTGCACTGTTTTTTTATTAACGTGGTCAAACGATTTATTTAATAATTCTGTATCATTTCAGATCCTCGCTGCACAAAATGATATGGTAACAAAATTTTTAGATATAGATAGAGATCGCCAAAACAGACTTGAGAATCGTTTAGATGATCTATTAAAAGTTGTTCATGCTTCTATCCTTACAAAACAAACTTCAGAAACAGACATTGAAATACCTCCACCACCACCAGAACCTACAATAACATCCTTAGTACCTCCTCCAAGACCTGGTATTGCACCTCCAAAGTTAGATCTAGTTCCTCCAAAACCTTGTCGTGTACCTTGTACAATGCCAAATTCTAATATTGAATTAATTAATCAAAATACTGTGGTAACAAGACCAGGTGTGGTATCACCGATAACTAGTCCAGTAAAGAAACCTGGTACCATATGGTCAAAATTGGGACCAGTATCACAATCTCCTTTTGTGAAAGCTCAGCAACGATTAGGTTTACAAACTGTTACATCTGCAGAAACTCGAACCCAATCGTCTGCGGAAAGACGTATAGCTAAGGAAATGGAGAAAGCCATGGACATAGAGACTTTAATATTTGAGACTGAGAAATTCTTAGAAATAGAGAGAAGGCTAGAAGAAAAAATAGAAAATGCTCGTATTGAAACAACAATAAACCAGACTTTGCATGCACGTAGAAAATTATTTACACAGAGAGAACCCACTCCAGCAATGATATTAACCGCGGCATTTTTAGAAAATGAATGCCACGCTGCGGGACAACTTATGAATTACCCTAATATGCCAAGCATAAATAAAAAGAATTTGAAAGATATTGATGATGATTTATTAGCGGGTCAAGGTGAAAGCTATGAACGTTTACGGCAATTAAATATAAAACCCACTTACGTAGCTGGTGAACCTTGTGATACATCTACACCAGCAAAAATAGGAACTATGTCCAATACTAATGAAAGAACATCTGTACAAACATTACCTAAGCAGAAAATTCAACAATTAGCTCAGCTTGTAATGAATACAGGAAGATGGAAAGATGTTGGAAGACAAAGTCTTGCACATCCAATTCAATCAAATACTCAAATGAATACAAAGAATACACAAAGTGTATGTCCAGCTTTTTATAACGAGGTCTTTACAACAGGACAATGTAAAACCTTGCCCAAAGAAAATGAAACTAAAAATGGTCAAAATTATGTTCAAGACTGGGTGTTAAATAAATATGAAGATCCAATAAATGAAAAATTAGCAACATATGATCCCTCGCGCAATATAATAAATCAAAAACCTAACTTTCCTATAGGTTTCACAAGACCAAGAACAAATACTGATAATTTAATACAAAGAGATTCCAACACTGAGATGAACAAGCATCTTGAATTTAATGGCAATGTTATGTCAGATCGTAAACAGAGTGTACGTTTTATGGATGATGATGCATTGGCTGAATTACAGCGTATGTATATCGAAACAGTGTCTAAAGAACAACAAGCAATGAATGATAGTATGCCATATGTGTTGAGCAGTGTTAATACGCTGCCAGTTGGAACTCAACAGATGATTGAAAAATATATTCGTGATATAATACCAAGAAAATTAAAAGAAAATAAAGATAAAGACACTGATTCTGATAACGATGATGAATTTTTAGATACTACTACTAGTATGCCTGCAATTGTTCCACGGCGAAGTTCTCTTACATCAACTGGTACTACATCCACCGAAACTGCACATTCTATAAAATTTTTAAAACCAGATAATTGCGTAATAAGTTAATTATAAGGATAATAATATATTTTGCTTTCATTTTACATAGAAATAATATGAAATGTCAATAAACATTTCTAACTATTTTTATATTAGTATCTGAAAAGAAAGCAAAATATTTTTTCAATTTTCTACAATATAACAAATAAATTTTATTTTGAAATACAATGCATATATATTGTCGTGCAATATATTTCGTTTTCTAAAAATTATAAAAAAAAGCAGGATTAAAAAACGGAACGATATTTTTGGTATATAACAATGCAATTACATATATATTATTAAATACATATATATATTGAATATATATTAATTACATATTATTAAATAATTGTTTTCATGAGAAGAATAAGTCTTCTTCAATTTTCTTTTAACGCTTGAACGTTATATATATACGTTATTTTATAATTATATTATACCAAGCTCCTCTAAATGAAAAAATGTTACAAATTTCAAATATATTTTTGCTTTTTATGCTTTAACCAAATTGTGCAAGTTATGTCTTCCATGATAATTATTCTTGTTGAACATTATTAAGTAAACCAAATTGTTTAAAGATTTTATTATCTTTTATCATGTACATTACATATAATTTGTTGCAACTTGTTTAAGTAGTTGAATTGCATAATATCATTATATTCTTTTACATTTTTAATCCACATTAAACTTTTGATTTACTGACATGACCTGTAAATAATACATCTTCAGGAGTTTCAGATTTTATAAAGAAGTTTAACAATGTGAAAATAAGTGGATAATCGATTTCGAACTCTAACTTTGAAAATAAATAATGCAGATCTACTATTCCTGCAATAAAATTATAAAATATTAAATTTTGCATACAGTACGAAACTATATATTAACAATATAATGAAAAATGAAACATGAAACGGAAAGTCGAAGTAATACCATTATAATTTGTGTTAATGCAAATGCGATTAATTTGAAATATAAAATAACAAAAAATATTTTTATCCTTATTATAAATGAAGTTAATAGTACATAAGTCTCATGTTTATATTTACACAATGTTATATTTGACTAATAAACTATCTAGTAAAAATTATTCCGACATTAATTTTTTCATCTTTAAACAATTTCACGATTCTGAAGGTTTATATTAATTTTCGGATTTATATTAAAATATTTTTGAAACTGTAATTACTATAGAAAATTGATATATTTATATACAACATAATTACTATATCCAATTTACAATGATTGGTAAATTAAAATATCAAAAACAATAGGATGTATATAAACACATATGTATATTTAAGAATTATTAATGTTTCTATTGAATAATGTTCCGATATATTATTAAATTAGAAATCATAAATATTGTGGGAAAATGTTTGAATTAATTTTCATCATTGAATCAATAAACATAATATTGAAAATTATATATAAGACAAATTTTATATAAATTGTTTTTCATAACTATACAAGTTATTAAAAAAAAAAAGAAAGTTAAAAGATTCATCTTTCTATTTAATTCCCCAAAAGTACATATATAACTTATCTTTGATTAAGAACAAATAATCCTGATTTGAATAAATGCAGTATGAGTCATTTAAAGTAGTATATTTTGCTGCTTTTAACATTTCCGTTTATTATTAGGTATTTATTTTAAAAATAATGTACAAATAAATAGTTTATAAATAATCATTTAGCGTGAAGTCATTGCATGTTAAGAATTTGATTTGTAGATCACTCAATTAGTGAATTGTCTTCCAAAACAAATGCACACATTTACAAAATAGTAAGATGTTATGAACAATATATAAATCGTAGCATCATTAATTATAATAAAAATATTACTCTTTTTAGGGTTCCTCAACATAACCGCTGAATATTGATAGAATATTATCATTTCCTTTTTTGTCACTTATATTTCTTACGATATAATAAACGAATGGTCGTGAGATTGTAAAATATGTTTTGTAATAATCCATTTTCAGCATAACGATACCTGAAATAGAATTATAATAAACATCAAAGTGTGATTTATAAGAAAATAATGGTAGTAACAATATAATTGAATATAAATATTTAGATTGAGCGGATTTTAGTAGCAAATTTATTGCCACAAATAGCATTTTAGAACAAAACTAATACTGTGCATGTGTAATTTCTAATGGCTTATATATAGCAAAAGCAAAATATCAAATTAATTTTTACTGATATTTTACTTAACAATATGTTAAGCATATATTAATTTAAAAATAAATTAAATATTAGATGCAAAATTAATTAAAATTATTAGTTATTAAAAATTATATAGATTAGTGGAATAATCTGACAAAGATACACTGCTTTTTTTATGTTAATGATTAACTGTCTTTCATTTAATACAATATTTTTTAATTCATTGTAACAAATTATATACATTATTTTAAAATGCAGAGTTTATTTGCACACATATAATACATATTGTAAAGAATTCTATTATCTTATAAAATACATAAGCATATATACACATAATTAACAATACAATATGCAACAATTAACACAATTGCATTCTAACTTATAAAACAATAAAATATAATAAGTATGCAATCTTCACAAATACAAACACAAGTAGTTTTAACAACTTCTTATTTACATATTAATTTGCAATTAATTATACTTTTAATTCATTACTTTATCAACAAGATTGTAATAATTTGCAAATAACAAAGTAAGGAAAAAGCAGGGACAAAACAATTTTATTGGAATTTAAACAAGCACTATCATGCATCAACATGCTTATTTTATTGAGAAAGTAATATGTTTAATGTACTATATGCCTGTGTGTATGTGTGTGATATGTATGAAAATAACTATTATTAATTTCTCAATACGTAAATTAAAACGTATAGTGTTAGTTTTTATATTAAATATCATTTTAAATTACAAAGGTGAATGATTAAGGTTCAACAATATGTCCCGAAAATATCGCATTTAAATCTCTTGTAACAATATTGAGGATAAATGGATGATCCACTGCAAATGTCATCGGAACTAACAATGGTCGCATTCCAATTCCTGAAACAGTGTAAATATAATAGCAAGAGAATAATTTAAATATTTTCCCTGCAATACCATTTTGCATTTTGTCCCCGTCAATGTTTATTATCACACAGAATAAGCACCACCTTGAAAAATAATGAAAGGCAATAATTTATAATTTTATATATATATTAAAAAATAAATAATGAAATTAGTTAAAAATTGGTACACTGACACGTTTAAAAAATATCGAAACAATTATTACCCATAATTTTCTAATTTGTAATTATTTTCATAATATGGTACAAAAAATAATAATCAATTATAATTTTTGTTTCGTATCCCATACAGGCTGGTAACTTGGAAGAAATTATATGATGACTGTATTAATTTCGATGAAACAATGTTGTTCTTAATTTTCCCTTTCATTTTTATTGTATGAAATGACATAAATTGAATGATAATATATATTAATAATTGGACGAAGAAAAAAGCAAAAAAAAAAATTTACAACTTAATAACAAAAATAATATTTGATATTATCAGATATAATGATGAAAATCATATGTCTGATAATAAAAAACAGAAACATGCAATGAAGTTTCACAATGAACAATAAGAATCCACAATAGACTAAAATGACAAATTTATTCCATTTTAAAGATAGATGCATATATAAGATCATTCTACTAAAAGAATCTACTAATTTTATAATCGTTTTGCGTGATTGTTACTCAAAGATTATGTATTAATCCTTCGAAAAGCAAGATTGACGGCTTAACATTATTGCTCTGAATTGCGTAATAGAAAGGTTTATTAATTTTGAAAACTAAAGGTTGACGTTGAAAAATAACTGCGGAAGTGCCAACTCCAATGATTCCTAAAAAAAAATAAATATTTTATATGAACAAATACCAACGTTATTTTTCTTATCACAATAAAAGATGGCAATAAATATGGCTCGTCTAATGAATACGAACATTATTAAACAAATGTAAAATTGTTGAAACAAGTAATATATATATGAAAAAATAAAATAACAATGAAAGTAGTTAAAGATTGGTTCAGTGACACGTTTAGAAAATATCGAAATAATTAATACCCTTGATTTTTTAATTTGTAACTATTTTCATAATATGGTACAAAAAAGAATGATCAATCATAATTTTTATTTCGTATCCCACAGGCTGGTAACTTGGAAGAAATTATATGATGACTGTATTAATTTCGATGAAACAATGCTGTTCTTAATTTACCCTTTTATTTATGTACGAAATTACATAAATTGAATGATAATAATTGGACGAAGAAAAGAGCAAAAAAAAAATTTATATACCCATGCCTTTTTTACGAAAATGAAATATAAAAAAGATTGTACATATTGGATATCGAAGAATTTGCAACTAATGGCAAAAATAATATTTGATATTATCAGATGTAATAATGAAAATCATATGTATGATAATAAATATTAAAAAAGATGCAATGAAGTTTCACAATGAATAATAAGAATCCACAATAGATCACTACTAAAATCCTTTTAAGTGATAAATTTATTTTATTTCAAAGATAAAGGATGCGTATACAAGATCAATCTACTAAAAGAATCTACTAATTTTTTAATCGTTTTGTGTAATTGTTACTCAAAAATTATGTATTAATCCTTCGAAGAGTAAGATTTGCGGCTTAACATTATTGCTCTGAATTGCGAAATAGAAAGGTTTGTCAATTTTGAAAACTAAAGGTTGACGTTGAAAACGTGGTGCACTCTTCAACATAATAATTCCTAAAAAAAATAAATATTTGGTATGAACGAATACCAACGTTATTTTTCTTATGACAATAAAAGATAGCAATATGTATGGCGCCTCAAATGAATATGAACATTATTTAAACAAATATAAAATTGTCGAAACAAGTAATAAACGTAATTGATATGTAAATGAAGTCCTCCAAAGAATATGAATCATATATATCAGAAATAATGCAAAATATAAATTTTTAGATCAAAGGAAGAAAATTTAGATTAATTTTTCTGTTTCTGTAATAAAATAAACAGATATTAAAAAGTTGTTAACCGAATGATCAACTTATTTTTAATTTATTCATGAATTTAAGATTTATTTAATAAGAAAAGTACCTTAATAAAAAAATTAAGTAATATATATATAAATAAAAGTATTAAGTAATTTAATTATATATCATATTCAAATATTAATTTATCATTTAACAAGTTTAATACAAAAGTTCCAGCATTGGTCCTTAAATTCTTATGTACATACAAATACAGATTTCAAACGACACATTATACACAACATGCAAATGCCTTTCAAAGATGAAAGTAGACTGAACCCCATTCTTTTAAATAGAATCATATATTATAATTGATATATCTTTTAATTTTCTGAAAAAGATACTGAAATGCTTTCATTTAAAAATATATGTATGAATTAAGCAAGGAAATAAAAACAAAGAAAAATATAAAAAATAAACAAAAAGCATAAGCGTAAATATCATGTTACATCAAACAAAGTAATATGTACAAAATATACGATGAGAAGCATAATAAACATAATGCAGTATAATAAAATTAATTCAATTTTCTTAAATGTAAGATAAAATTCTTACTCATTCTTGTATGTATTTCGCATTTTAAATTGTCACAATCAACAGGAAATTAAAAAGCAAATTAAACTTAACAAAGAATTCAATTGAATAAATTAATGAACATAAAACGAAGATGAAAATTTTTGATAAAATTGAAGGAATATTAATCACAATAAATTAGATTCGTACTACACATAATATAAAAAAATCTTATTCCTTCTCCTATACTTTATATTATTAAATGATTTTCATTTTGGTAGTATCTTGTTTATAGTATTGCACGATTTCCTTTAATCAAACCAAGGTAATATGATGTACTTTAAAATGTAAATTAAAGTGAAGTCAATTTTCTTTACATATAAACACTCATTCATTTAAATCAGTCAAATCAGTCAATCGGCAGAGATTGATAAAATAATGCACAATATGGTATACGCTATTAATTCTTAACTCAATGTTAAGTAAAAAACTAAAAGTCATTTAAATAAAAGTCATTTAAATCAAAGAGATTTAATGACATAAGGTAAAATCGATAATTGATTGCGTTTGTTTGATTTTCAAGGTGAAAGAAATTACGATACAGTTTTCGCCAAGAACAAAATTACATTGTTGTATGTAACGATCGATAGAAATGGTCGATTGACGTGGAACTCAATGGGCTTCGGCGGTGACCAAAAGCTCGAGAGAGGCCTTACACCGAGACCTGCCACAAGCAATTAATAGTGTATTATTCGTTCAATCTACGGGCTCAGAGTAAATCGAACAAGAATTAGATCGCTACGATATGTTACGTTACTATATCAAAATTGATATTATTGAAAAATAGTTTAGATTCATAATTCATATAGAAGATTTTGCTATATTACACTGAAGTACGAAGTGAGGAAAAAGAGTGAAGAAATTAATAGCATGATTTTTTAAAAGAATAGAAAAAAATAATTCATTGAGTTAAATATATATATATAACACAGCCAAGAAAATCATGCTGTTGTCTCAAAGTCAGTGATTTGGCCTTCGAAGAGAACTATGTTGTCATTCCGTGATGTAATTGCATAAAAGAACGGTCCATTTACTCGAAACTCTTCTATGGAAGGAAACGAGAAGAATGCAACGTTGGAGTCTGTCGAAAAAAATTGTATACAGTTATCAATTACAAGAAGAATACTATCATTAAATTCATTTTTATATCTTCCTCCCTCTTTTTCTATTTTCTTATTAATATGACTTAATTAATAATAATAGTAATTTAACAGTTAGTTAAATGATTAATGTAATGATGAACTAGTTAAAGGAACAGACTAATTAGATGAATACATAATGCAAATTCACTAAATTGCTCTTGCTTGAAAACTGAACATATTAAAATCTCATACTCTTAAATATAATTAATTTTTAATTTAAGACCAACGCATAACAACAACACATGATGACAGGCAAATATATGCTAATGCAAACATAAATATACAAATGTATTTAAGAATAACAGGAAACATACTATTTAATGCAGCAAACAAAACATGAGGAAGCAATTTAAACTGTATAAACATATTAACATATTATAGTTCATTTTTTGATATAACAGATACAGATTAGATAAGTACACATATAAATATTTACATGGATTGAAGAAAATAATTATATATGTGCAAGTTTTCAACTGCAATATTAAAAAATTATATATGTGCAACTTTTCAACTGCAATATTAAAAACAATTAATAAACATTTTCTTCAAACTGTATAAAAGCTCAGAAGTCAAAATTAAGCAAATGTTGAAACTAAACAAGATATTAATATTATAACATTGTGCTAATTTTATTGAAATGTATAACTTTAATTTCTTAAATCTTTCTATTTGTATCCATATGTAATGTTTATAATTTTAAATTATCCAATGCATTTTGATAATAAATATTATTAGTGAAATAAATAAATTTTTCATATTTAGCTTTATATTTACTAGTTGCATGTTTAAAGTAATATTTTGCTTAATTTCAATATAAACTGTCCAAAATAAAATTTTTATTCGCTTACCAGTAGCAGCAGCAGCCTCAGTCCCTTCTTCATTCACTTCAATGAATGCTTTTTGTACAACAGTATCAACAGCTAATTTCTCATTAGAAATCCCAGAAAAGTTAGCACTAGCAGTAAACGCATCAGTCAAACCCATCTATGCAAAACAGAAACTAAAATATAAGAAATATCCATTTTTGAACAAGTTACGCTTTATATATCGTACCTCTATCAAGTTTTTATTCAATATCATTTTACTTTCTACTTTGAACTTTGGTAAATGTAAGCGTATTTCTTCTTCAATTCCTTGATTTAGAATATCGGTTAAGTTTACATTTTGTAATTTTTTTTGAACATCAAGCAGACCCTCAATTTCATTTGGAAGAATTATAAGCATACTTAATTCATTACCCTAAAAAAATTTATTTGCTTTTAACAAATTTATTTTTTTTTTTATTATAGCTGCGAGACATATAGCCTATTTTTTATACATTACTGACTTTTTCTTTCAAACTTACCTTATATGGTAATACAACAAATCTAGCATTCAAATTTGGAAGTTCACCATATTTATAGTAGCCTTCTCTATACATTGTAGCAACATTTTTTACTGTATCCTTATTAACATGGAATGGCATATCCATAGTAAGCTCAGTATTGAACTTATGTAGCCATTGACCTTTAAAATATACTGCGTTAACAAGTACTAATCTTGTGCCTGCATTTAGCATATCTGTAATGAATATGAAATTACTTATCATATATCATTTGAAATTTGATCTTATATAACATTTTTTTTTTGATATTAATAGATAAATAAACATCTACAAACCAGGACTAATAAGGTTTTTAATGAGATTATTTGTATTTTTTTCAACCCATGTATTAATAGTTTCTGAAGCTTTCGTACTTTCAACAAAGTTTATTGATTCAGAAGCAGAACGGAAGTAAACTTCTGTCAAATTTTTATAACTTGGATTTATATCAAGACTTTCAGCTATAAAAATCTTATTTGCAAGTGTTAGAATATTGTCTTTAACGCTCTATACAAAAACATATAAAAGATATTATGTATCATGAAATAATATATGAAAATACAAAGTTTATATAAAGAAACAAGTGAGATTATCTTACATTGAGATTATCAATAAGTGTCTGATAACCAATTGCAGCAAGATTATTTGGTGTTGGTAAAGAAAGTACTTTTCTAAACTGAGCTTCTGTGTTTCCACCAGCTCCCAAACCAACCATCGCAAGAACAACATCAACACTTAGAGGGGATATTATAAGATTGCCAGAATTGTCTCCTACAACATACTGAAAACGATTTTCATTTCCATCATTTATTCATTTTCAATCATTTGTAGTATAATAATCAATTTTCATATACAATATTTAGAATAAATTTTAAATTCCATTGATTTACCTGGAAAAACAAAGAACTAAATTGATTTGTACCCTCTACAACAGCATGGAGTGGTTCAACATCCGTCTTTGCCATTGACATTGTTACTAAGGCAAAAGCCACCAACCAGAAACTTTTTGATACTAAAAAAAATTTGTTAATAAATTATCACTAAACATTTGTTAGAACACATCTTGTAATATATTTATTTTGAAAAATGAATTACAAATATTTGCGGAACAATATGTTTTATATAAAACGAAATATTCACAGTGGACGGAAGAAGATGCCATTAAAAGAAATTGCTTATACTTCCCGTCTTTAAATATAAGATTGTATTAAATAATTGTATTGAATCTATCGAAAACAATTAGATCCGCATTTTTTCAGTTCCCAATAGTACATTACTTTTTCAATATTTCCAAACATTGTGATATAATGATGCATTTAAGGAGAAAATTATATCGAAGTAGGTAACATTCAAGAAAATCATTAAACTGTAAACTGCCATATAATTAATATAAAAAAATATAAGTTACATGTAATAAGTTACACGAATATTATATAGATGTTTATGTAGATCCTCCTAATTTCAAGGTTCAAGATATATAAAATTCAAGGTTTACTATTCATCAAACCGACGAAGGTGACCGACTACGTGATATGATTGATAAAAACTAATATAATAGTTTGGCAAAGTAGAAACGAATTATAAAATTTGAAAACTATTTGGACAGTATAGCTTCTTTCTGTCATGAGAAATAAATTATTGAAATAATCCAAAATGCTTCAAAATATATAAACAATATGAATTTCTATAGGAACTTTATTTTAACAAAATTAAAATATTAAATTATTATCTAACTATAACAATACTATTATATTTAGCTTATTATATCATTATTATTTAATGTTTTCTCTATAAATATTTATATGAATATTTATGTAACTTTAAATACTAATGTTTCAAAATTTTGGATCAATAATGTATTAAAATTATAATGTATTAATCAATAATGTATTAAAACTATGAATAAAAAATTGATGATATATTTAACGATAATAATGATAATTCATACATTTACGATATACATAATAAATATTTCATAAACACTTTTATATTGATAAAGAGGGTACTAGCTTCGAACTATAAAATAAAAAATAAATGCGCAATTTTGCAATTTCTGCAAATAAGATAAATTGAACATATATATTCTCGTGCAATCTTAGCAATAACAAATAATAAAACAAAATCCTAGCAATAGCAACTTGTTATAATCATTAAATGTTTACCATAATTTGTCTGTCTAAGCAGAAAAGTAAATAACAAACAAATAATTTTTAATCATATTAATCCTTTATAAATAATTAATAACATTAACAATATTCTAATGTGATAAATTTTATAAAAACATAACTATGCAAATAAATTAGTAAAAATTTCTGAAATATTTATCTATCAACAATTTAAATAATTTGAGCTATTAAATTTATGTTTTAAATATGATAAACAAGCCAACAACCCACACAATATTATTCATCTTGTAATATGATAAAAATGCAAATTAAATACAAAAGAAAAAAAATGCTAAAAATACTATTAATAAAAAAGATATTTTCCATTATTATTAAATATAAATATTATTATTCAAATATTACATAATATATAAATTTTATACTTCTAGATTTCCATAAATCGAATACAAGAACTTCTAAATTTAATTGCGAAAGCTTTGTTGACACGACTGTCGAAGTTTAATAATCTTAAAATGAAACAAAAACTTTTAACAACATGAACAAATGTACATATGTACATATGTATATGTATATAGAAGAACAAAGATAAATTCAATGTTTCCCCTGACTCTCATCGGGGAAAACCCAGTAAAGCATAAATACGTTTTGTAAGAATAATAGTTTTACGGTGAGATACGTGTATGTTGGGAATGCCAGCGGGAAAAAAAGCCAGAAAAACAGACAATCTTGACAATAATTAAAATCATATTTACTGTGTAATCATTAACGTTATTTTCGTATATATTCTATAGCTATCAACATATCGACTGACAAGCCGCTTGTTATTTCATAATACGTATTACGTGTTGTAACAAATATGCGTTTTTCTACTGTGATAAATTACAATCATTCCGTGAAAAATTATAAGCATTTTTTAACTTCTGTCTTAAATATTTTCATTTAAAAATTATATATTCCAATATTTTTAAATATTAACTCTTAACTTGTAACTATTTTACATATTCGTTAACAATTATTTTATTATACATTTCACATTTAGGTAAAAAAAAGTGATTTAAATATTTATCCACAAACTTTTATAGTTTGTTATTGATAGTCACAAGACGCATTTTATGATTTGGGGAAATTTTCAAACAATACCATAACGGTAAAATTATGAATACTTAAATACTATTGCTAAGAGTATACAGACATATATTATTATGTAGCACACAGGGTATCCAGTTTTAATCTATAAATGCAAATTATTTGCAAACTATCTGCAATACACAATATATACTTCAGATAAGAGATAAATGGTTTCGATACAGTTACAATTTAGAAAGACAAAAACAATATGAACATAAAAATACTTGTCTCTTCTCGTATTTCATACAACAGATTTTACAAAATTAAGCTTAAAATATCCGTTATTCTTGTAAAATAAAATTAATGATTTTTGGATAGCTATAAATAACTAACACAATTTTGTAAAAAACAATGAGCTATATCGTTTACATTAGATAGTTTTTTTATTGTTTTATATATTACATAACGATGTAAGAAGAAAAGGGTGCAGGATAATAGCTCAAAACTAATGAAATCTAATTTGCCTTGTTATTTTTATCACATCTTGCGATGTAATTTAATATTAAATAAATAAAATTAGTTTTTTTACACTTGATTGTTTGTATGAAAAAAATAATATTATTAAATACAATTATTAATAATATAAAGGAACGATCGTTAAATAACATACATACGTAAAATCCTTTTTAATATTTATCAGTTACGAAAATAAAACTTATTAATTTTAAATATTTATCAATTGTAAAAATAAAACCAGGTATAACGTTTTATCGTTATGCTTATAATATAGAAAAAAATGCCAATAAAATGACAAAATATTTAAATAATTACTAGTATTATCGAGCTATATTATTACATAAATTGTAAAATTTAAACCCAGAAAATGCTACCAACCGTTGCTCATTTCTTGGAGCACTATATAATAATTTATTAAAAATATCAATTAGATATTTATACAATATTAGAAATATCAAGAATAACAACGAGCCGTTTCAAAGTGTTTCTGATTTATTTCATTTTGTACTCGTTTAATTGCCATAACATTATTAAAATTCGTATGAAAATAACGGAGATCAAATATACGTAAATAAAATAGAAATCATCTGAAGACAGATTTCAACGTGGATCGATCAATCGTACAAAAACTGGAAGTACCGAAGGGAAATTTTGTGTATACTTGGCACGATCTGAAGCCAGATGTGCGATAACCTGTATTATGTCAAACGCATACGTAAATTTACTCACATCCGTCCATAGTCACAATCCGCTCGTTTTACCGGTTGATCTTCCTCGAAAGTTAAACGCAGAATGCATGCAGAGCTGACTGATCAAATATAAAGGAAAGTCCTCGAAGAGAGAAGGGAACCTACCAAGGATCGGTAACGAACGTACAGCCAATCGCAATGTAAACACTCAATTGTCCGTGTTTGTACAAATGAAATAACATGACATTTTAAATCTGATTGGTGCTCGACCCCGATGTTCCGCATGTAAATTAGATAACATAAACAGGACAATGATATCGTTACCGGTACGACCGGCGAATATTTCGATTTTGTCATTGATGCGATTCTGACTACGCTAAATTACATTTCTAAATAGCGATGTATTTTAACGTGCTGTTAGTATAACTATTTATACACGCTGTATATTTTCAGCATGCAAATTACTAGTCACAGATGGGAATTGTTTGATTTTGCCGACTGACTCCAATATTTACGTAAAATTCGACAAATTTCGTTTGAAGTAGAGATAATAAATGAAGACTTAAAATTACGAACTATTTCTAATAATTTATTATTTTCAATTCGAAAATTGTTCATTTTCATGAAAAATAACATTGATTTTTTGTTTCAGCAATCCAAAATATCTCCGAGATGACAAAGTTGAACGCACAAGTTTAAACTAGTCTCGCTATCTCTCGCAGACACGAAAACTCATTTCGATTCGATTTCGATAATACGGGATAATCCAACACTATAGTATATTCGGAAAAGATTAAAGTTTCTACCAGTTATTACCAGTTTTGACTCACTTATACCGTCATCAGTCTTTAAATAACTGTGATAAAGTCATTTCAAGAAAAATGTTGTACAAAATACAGTAGAATAGAATGTTTAAATGAAACAAAAAAAAATAAGCAAAAAAGTAACTCTGATTTCTTTAATTAGACCGATTTCTTCTATTCTTCATCACAAAAAGTATTGCACATTTGTTGTTTGATGCAACGTGTCGTGAATATCTCACTCGGTATGATGTGTATATACAATAATTGACATGTACATGCTACATACATGACATACATATATGCACATTATTAACCAATTTAATAACAAAATTATAAAACTATAAAATTATTTTGTCAAATTATAAGCACTACACAATTTTCCCGCGTAATTTAACGCACCTGTTGACAAGCTTTCTCAAGGTATTGCAGATATCTTCACTTCATTTAAGACAAACTAAACAATGTATGAAAAACTGCCCACAATTAGATAAATCGCAATTCAGTAGATCAATAGATCAGCCAATTGATATTTACATACAGTTTTTCACATGCTGTTACAGCCTTGTGGCTCCATCTTAGCGTGAACTTTTCGCGCCAAATATGAATTGTAATGTATATATAACAAATTTACAGTTTATCGATTTATTGATTAATTGGCTAATTGATTAGATGTCAGACGTTAAATTTAAATATTAATTCTGGTTGCTATCTGAACATTGCCAAGGCGTGAAACTCTTGGCTCCAATTAATTTTAAATCAATAAGATTTATTTCAATATCTAATAATTATTTTACGGTTTCTCCAAGTGGATATTTAAGAAATTTTAAAAGATAGCGTAAGAAAGTCATAAATTTAAAATTCATTTTGTTATCAATGATCCAAGAATTCTGACATGCTTTAAATTTTTCTTCTGAAATACAAAACCGAATTCTGTAATATAAAATTAAATGCAATTGCAATTCGAAGCTTCTTCTGTAATTCATTGTTTAATATAAATGTTAAAGAGTTAAGATTTCAATCAGTTCAATTATTTGAAAAGTTATATTATTTCGTTTCAAATCGCGAGCAGAGCGTTCCGCGCTCCACGAGTAGTATAGTTTACCAGTCATTAGTCTAACTAACATTAGCGTATGAGTCACGAAAGAAATATTTTTTCCAAACTTGAAAAAGAATAAATATAACATGTAATATTAAAATATTATGTTCGTTATTACAATAAAAACATAACGAATTGAGTTTAATTGTATTCCGTTTAAAGTTTAAAGTATATTATCAAAAATTTTGAGTAAGTACAGAACTTGAGTAAGTACAGAAGTTTTGTAAATTTTATGAACAATGAATAAGGGAATTTTATAAATAAATTTTGTTCAAATAAGCAACAGAAATTCTGTTCACAGTAAATGTATATACATGTATATATATCTATCGCAATATAAGATAAAGTGAAACTATATCTGAAGTTTAATATGCAGATTAATCATTTTATAAAATTACTTGATAATATTTGTAATTTACCATTTGCACATAACAAAACAGATATTAACAAAAACACTTTTCAAATAAACATGATAAGGTAAAAAGTTTAAAAAAGTAGGTATAATAAAAATTTACCTGCAGATCTTGGATTACAGGTCTTGAGCCACTATCTCAAATGAAGTATTCTCCAGGCGTGGTTATGTACATACATATACAAAGAAAATAACTACACCTACGTATTCGAAAAAGAAGAATCGATAAGATTATTCGTAAAATTTCTAAGACGTAAGCGTATCATAAATATATAAGTAACATTAGATAAAATATAAGTAACACTTCTTTTTAATGATTTAATTTTAACAAATATAGCATAAAATCAATGTTATATAATAAAGAAAAATGTTTATGCTTTTTCGAAATGTTTACGATTGATATCTATGCCGTGGAAATCTTTGTTCTTAATGCAGCATTTCTCATGACCGGGATTTTTCTGACAAAGTTCGCAACCACAGATTGGTTCTCGTGGTCGTTGTGGAGCACGTTTAGGAGGGCAAGGAGGTAGTTTTGGTTTGTCATCGCAACAACATGGTCTACAAGGATCCTATGAATATTTTTAACAAGTATTTTTTGTACTTTAAAAAATTGAGACAATAATATTGTAAAAAATATAAATAGTATAAAGAATACAAGAGAGAGTGAGGGAAAAAGTAACGGGAAATATGTTCTTAATCGCGTAGAAATAATAAAATTTTGAATTATTAAGAAATTATGTTGAATTATTATTAAATTGTCACGTGTTCTACAAGTATAATTTTAATATTCTGAATCAAATATTAAACTCATAAAATTACCTGCATTTTAATGTAACAATAAGATTTAACATCCGGGCAAATATCACTGGGACGTTGATATGGTGATTTTTTTGAAGTCGGGGGATCTATGTCATCTTTTACATCTTTGTCCAGTGATTTGAGTTCTTCGTCGGCCTGTTTCTTCTTCTTTTTCGGAGGACATGCTGATTTAAATTCCGTAGAAGTCCAAATAACTCCGCTACTTACTAATCAAACGATAAATCATCTAAGGAACAACTAAAAGTAATTTGTAATAATTACCATTATAAAAATATTACCAGAACTGCAAAATTTATTCCATATGCTTTTGCATTGTTTTTCATCAGTCATAATTTACTAAAATTTTCAGAAAATTTTATAAAATATGATTTTATAACATTATTTTGATGTTAGTTTTACTAATTCATTTTTAAATAATAACCAAAATTTCATGACTGATACAGCTGTATGTACGATCTATTCGATCTTCAATCGTTTTGTTATCAGCGTTTGTATTGATATGTATATATATTAGAAGAAAAGATGTAGAATTTATTCCAGTAATTATATCTCATTCTAATAAAAGCTTGGAAATTTTCTTTTAGATGCATGCAATTTACATACCCTAGTCAGAAATAGACAAAAAATTTTTACTAATTCGTCGCCCTCTAGTGAGATAAATAGAAGGTCGTCATATTTTGCTTATTCTACACGAATAACCAAACAAGTATACGAAAACAAGTAAATGTTTTGTTAAAATGGGTATGCAGTTAATTTTAAACGTAAGTTAAAAAGTTATTTCGACTACTTTCAGTGTATAACATAGAAAAATATTAATCGTAAATATTTTGCGGCAGCAACATTAATATTTGAGTAATTATAATATTTGATGTATTGAAAGTTCAACATTGAGAAAGATGGATGATTATACAATATCGTTAGATCCTGAAACAGAAATGGCCTGTACGTTGTATCTATTCAAAGATATACAAAATTGTAATGAAATACGCAAAAATGTTATGAGTGGTAAACTTTCTTGTTGTATCATAAAAGCAGCGCTTTTAGTGGATCCTTTGCAAGCAATAGTAGCTGCTAATAAAGCTGCAATTAGCGCAAGGATGAATCAACTCACTACAAGAACTTTATATACTGAAGTATTGTTTAACTTATCAATATCAAAGAACATATCACGTACATTAACGGAATTTGGTATCAGTGATAACGATAAAAATATATTAGTAATGATAATACATAAAAAATGTAATAAAAATTCAAAGTCAGAAATATTTATGGACATGATAAAAGGAGAAAGAGTGTCAATTTCAAGATTGCCTGAATTTACAGATTTCAATTTGATAAAAAAATTATATAAAATTGAGGAGGATGAATTAAAAATTTCTACTTTCACCAATTCTGTTGTTTCTAGAATTAGCTGTAAAGATTTTATATCAGTAAAATAAAAGACTTTTGTGTGTATTGGAAAGTTTTTTTTTTTTTAGATAAATGTTATTTGATACCTAAAGTTTTTATATAATTGTACAATTATATAGTAATATTTAATAAAAAATATCATAATTTGTTACAATTAATGTTCTTACTACAGTTTTTATTCTTTTTGTTTATTTTTATAAATTTCATAGCAACTTAATATAATAATTATCAATTTTCTTTTAATATTTAATGCAGATTTTCAGGTTTTTAATACATAAACATTAAAATTTTTGCAATCATAATAATTCACAGTACAATATAGAAAAAAATAATTGTTACATTTTGTGAGATTTATACACTATTCATGGTTATAAATATATTCAAGGGTTACTATAAAAAGGAAAGCTGAAAAGTAGGTTTCAGTAAAAGATATTTTTTTCCTTTTTTTATTCACTCATAAATAAAGCCAAGTATGCGTTGAAAACAATTTTTTTATCCGCAAGAACCTGCGGGAGCAAAATAGCAATTTAAGGACAGCACCTTTAATTGCATACAAAAGCAATATAATAACAGTTTGTTACGTATTCCTTGGCAAACCACACATTTCACACATTGCAAAATCTGCTGCATTGAGAAAAGTGCAATGTGAGCAAGTCCATAGTCTTTGATCAGGTGGTGAATTTACAATTGGATCTGTACCAACTGCTATTCCACTTCCTTCTGGAAGTGCAGAAGATGAAATTCTTGAACTAGTATCAAACGTTGGTTGAGACGTAGATGCTGTAGTTTCGGATATGAGTTGCTCTACTGTTGCCCATTGTTCTGAGCATGACCATTCTACAGCTTTTTCTCTATCTTTTGTACGAATTGCTTCTAATAATGGCAACATATGATCCTAAAGAAACAAATAAGCATATTTTACAACAATGAAATAAGATTCTTAAGTAGACAGTATTTAATAGGAAGTACATTGTACCTTCATTGGAAACATATCCATCGTTGCAATAAAAATTAACAAATGAAAATCTGAAACTGCTTCTAGAAATTGTTCTTTACTAAATTGTTGCATGTAAGAACAAAGTGAACTAAATTCTTGAATTTGCCCATCGATGAGTCTATAATCATGTAAAATTGATGTTAAAACTATTTTAGGAAAACAGTACCATTTCAATTTTTACATACCTATTTTCAATTAAAAACGGCGTGATATTATCACTAATGTAAAAAGTAGACTGTGGAGTGAGTGGCGTAGATGCAGGTATATCTACCAATAAATATTCTACCGGCAAAGGTCTTGCTAGCCTTGACACTTCATTTCCATAAGAATCTTTTTCCTTGACATAACAAAAAAGAAACAGAAAGTTAAATAAAATACAAAAAGATTGATTTCAATTTTATTACATTACTTAGAACAATCCTCTTAGAATTACCCTACGTCTGTGTTATTTTTTTAATATTTGTTACTACAAAATCGCAAGCGTGAAATTAAAGTTCAAGTAAATTTTATTGAAAATATTTTGAAAAAAAAGTATGCAGTAAATACATTGAGACGGCCCTGACGGGACTATTGAAGTCGGGTAATATCTAGAGAATTTCATTGGTCGATTGAAGACAAGTGTAACTAGGGTTACGAGAAGCACCGTGAAGGCAAGTCCATAATACGAGTATTAACGTAGTGGTTGGTCAAATGCGCGCGCAATGGTGAAAGCCGCAGACGATAGGCCGGCACCGTTTGCCGCGAGTAGAGCCCAAAAGTGTATAAGAAAGAGGAAAGAGGAAAGAGAAACAGAGAGGGAGAAAGAGAAGGAGGAAGGTTTAGGATTGTCGAGAGGGGGTAAGATACGGGACGAAGAGAGGAGAGAGCAACAGCGTAAGCGACTAGCGCGCGCTGTGTGTGTCGGTCGGTCGGTCGGTCGTCGCCGCCATGCTAGTGGTTAGTTTAGTGAACCAAACATCATGATGTGGCAAAACGTTCGCACGAGCTAAGACTGAAGTAACGCCGCGTTACCGGCGGGCAGTCGTTATGTTATCCATAATAACTCACGACGTTCGATAAGCGTAAATTCGTAACGTGAAAAAGTACAAAAAAAAAACAAAAAAGAAAAAAGCGAAAAAGCTTCCGTTAAAAGCTCTCGACGGCAACTGTGGCGATAAAAAAACGTCGGAGTGCTCGCGATTCCTGCGTGCGGAACCGCACAATACTACGTCAATCCCGATGTAACTTAAAGTTTAAATCGTATATTCGACCAAACGTTACGGAATAATCGTCGTCACGGTATTACGCTAGGAGTGACGAGTGCCAACGATCAGCCTCCATCGCGCGGCAAGGAGACGATCGCGAGTCGTATACACGGTACGGACATTTACGCTCCTACAATCCAACGAAAGAAAGAGCAAGCGAGCAAGAGAAAAAGAGAGAGGGAGAGAAAAGAGGGAGGAAAGCGAGAAAGAGAGTATGTATGTGCGTGTGTGCGCGTGCCTGCATGCGTGATAAGGAAAAGCATATGTCTCTTCCTCAATGTGTACGTGTTCTCTGTGGCACGCGCACGCGCGCGCCCGTACGTGTGTGCGTATGCCATTGTGAGCACGAGAAAAGAGACGAGTATGTGCATGCATATGTATGCGTGTGTATAAGATAGAAAGAGAGAGAGTGAAAGAAGTGTGTAGAGAATTGGCAAACGAGAGCGAGAACGAAAACGAGGTAGAGAAAGAAAAAAAAGTAAACGTGTACGTACACAACATGAAACGATACTACGACTGAGAGAACGAACTAATATTCCCGCGCGGAATTTGCCTAACACGCAGTAGTTCGTATATTCGAATTGTTTCTTAACTTAAATCGCGGACTTGTCACAAGTAATGACAGCGTAATATCGCGGAAAAAACTTGGCGATAAGAGGCTGCAAGAATCCATATATCATACGACCGAAGGTTGTATCGTATTGGTGCTTGAAATACGCTTTGCCGGAGAGCGAAGAAATGTGACCACTTTATATACGTCCATCCCTCTTCATCCCCTCTTCTCCCCCTTCTTCTGTTAATCACCTTTCTCTTTAATATACTTTCCTCCGTTGGCGAATGGTAAATCCCAAAACTTCGACTGTCCGACCCCCTTACGTTTTGGCGGGATTTTCCACGCATGCGTGTTCTCTCAATGAATGTCATTTTTTACGTATTAATGGTGCTAGCCAAATTGTTGCATAATAACTTTGCTGTTGTGTAGTCAATGTGTCAGATAAGAGGCTAACCTTTTGAGGACAAGTTCGTGCTCAAAGACAATGCGATGAAATAGCACGATTGAACTTATGTGGCGTGTCGTGGAACAGTTTTACAGCGTACAAACGACTCGGGAGGGGGTGGGGATGAAAATAACAGAAAGGAAAAAACTAAGTAAAAGAATTACGATGCTAATTTATACATTGTACTGGGAGATTCTTTCTTTTGTTTCCTTGTCGAAAAAAAAAAAAAAAAAGAAACGTATATACTTTCGTTGTCCATTCACGCGACGAATCGAATCACATTGAACAATCAGAGAAGTAAAATCTTGTAAGAAATATATATTATAAACGAGAGCGCATGTATGTATGTACTAATAAATGAAATAAACATGTGTAAAATATTTAACATTACTTGAATAATGCAATATAAATATGTTTCAGTATTCAACAATTTTCTTTTTTCGATAAATTTAAAGTCACGTTTTCCACTGTTCTCTAGAGGCGATAAGATGTATCACTTAAAACAAAGGAGAGAGTAGAAAAGAGAGAAGAAGATGAAAAGAAAACAGTTTAAATGTTGAATGATGTGTTATTAGGAATACGTAAACGTATTAAACACGACCTTTATGTTATTTTCCTAAGTAACGAAACAAACGTTTCTTGTGTATTTTCATCTAATTCGTTCCTCCTCAAATTATATGGATCCTCTTTCATGTAATTTTGTTAAACTGTAGTTTCACCATGCAGACGCATACATTGTATGTAAAACATTTTCAAACTATAAAGAGATATAACGAATGATATTTTTATTCTTTTTCAGATGCTGGATCCAAGCGTTCTAACGGATTTAGAGGAACTGACGCTTTGCAGTTATTGCAAGCAGAAGTATAACGACGCGGAACAATGCCCGAAGTATCTTAGTTGCAAGCATTACTTTTGCTTGCGTTGCATAGAAAACAATTTGTTAAAGGGACGTGAGTTGTTTTGCGCGCATTGTTGGAAGAGGACGGACCTGGGTGATCAAGGACCGGACGCTCTGCCGACGCACTCCTCTCTCCTTGCTCTAACGAATAATTTGTCTCACTTAAAAATCACGACGAACAACACATCTGGGAAAACGAACGATAAGGAAAGAAAGGTACTTTCTACCTAATCCAAACCTGAAGATAATTTTTCTTTGTCAATGATTTTTGGTTATTTGCATTGCCAGTACATACACAAATGGTAAAGAAAGTATGTAGCTCTGAAGCCATACCAAGATAGCTTCTAATAGGATTATGTTATAAGGTCTGCAATAGTTTCCATTTAAGATAGAGAGATAATTTTAATATATAAAATTCTGTATATAAGTCTCCAACGAATGGAGTGATTGTCTTTTGTATTATATTGCGTTGATTTAACGATACACCGTAGAGAAGAAACAAAAGTATAAAATTTATGATTATTACAATATTGTTACAGAGTGAGAATTGTCACACGCACGGAATGCCTTTGGCATTGTGGTGTGCGACATGTTGCACGGCGCTTTGTAGAGCATGTGCCACTCCACAGGAACACCCAGGTCACCAAATTAAATCGCAAACTGATGCCAAAGAACAACTCATCTCCGACGTAAGTTTTAAAATGAATTTTATTTGCTGGTGCATTTGTGTGATCGATATATACACACAGTTTTGCATCTGTGAAAGAGATATCGATAGCCAGCGGGTAATAATATTCGAATCGAACGAAGATGCATGTTGATGATGTGTTTTGTAGGTTCAATTGGAATTAGTTGCTATGGGAAAGCTATCGACCGAGATTCAAAGACTGGCTATGCAACAACGAGAATTCTTAATAAAAGTGTTGGAGGCTTGTGTAACGTTGAAAACACACGTCGAGACTGATCTTCAGAACGGCTGGAGTCATTTTCCTGAGATAACGGACGCGCGAGAAACACTTGGGAAAGCGAAAGCTAGTCTTCAGATGATCGAAAGCCCTAGCGACGTGTACAATTTGCATTCGCAGCTCATACTAGAGAAACAGAGATTGCAATCGAAGTATCAAGAAATGATGTTGCAGTGCCAACTCGACGATCTGATTGGTAACTCGGGAGTGGTGTTTGATTTCGCGTTGTTGAAACAAGCGTTAGCTGGGATACACACGGGAGAACCGATCGTTTCTCAAGGAACCAGCAATGGCGGTAGATTACCAAATCATTTGGCGGCTTCACAGAATCCGATACTGTTCCTCGCAAATTATTGCATGTCGCAGCTATATTCGAGACATGTAGTTAGTAAGCAACACATGCAAAACGGTTCTATAGAGTATCATTCGAGCATGATGCAGCCGCAACCAGCTCCACCGGGCTCCGTTCATGTACACCAAGGTCCACCGCCGCCGGCAACCCCGCAGCAACTTCTCATTCCACCTGGTTCGCCGTCCGTTAAACCCGTTCCGCCCGCGCCACCGAACGCGATGCTACATCCGCAGCAACAATCGACATTTATACCGGAGGGAGTCGGTACTGGCGGCGGGAGTTTGGTAACCGTCCACTCATCCTCTCAACCGCCGTCCAGCGGAATAGCAGCATCCCTTCGAGGGCCCTCGAACCCTTATCCTCTATATTATTTCAACATCGAAGTGAACGGATCTCCGCATGGCCGTATCGTGATAGAAGTGAGGCCGGATGCAGCGCCGAAAATGGCCAAAAATTTTAGTGTTCTGGCGACCGGTGAAGTCGGAGTCGGTTACAAGGGCTGCACGATTTTTCAGTGCTGGGAGGGTGAGTCCGTGATCACTGGTGATTTTGAGCTGAACAATGGCCGCGGAGGAAGAAGCATATTCGAGGATGGGTACTTTATGCCGGACGACACGAAATTCCCTGCAGTGAGGGGTGCAGTGGGAATGCGGAGAACGCAGAAGCGGCACGATAACCTTGGTATGGTCGGTTCACAGTTTCGTATAATACTGCAAGAGATGCGCGGATTCACAGGGATATTTGGCCACGTTGTTGAAGGATTGGAATTAGTCGAGAAGATATCGACGTTCGGCGATCAAACGGGCAAGCCTACGAAGAATATTCTAATCACGAAGTGTGGCAAATTGTAACGGTAACATTACTACGGTTAGTATATACCGAAGGGTAATCAAGTACTACCCGTATACTTTACGTTCTCCCGCTATAGATAACTGAAAAACGAAGAAAAGAAAAAAAAAAAAAAAAAGAAGAAGAAGAAGAAGAAGAAACACACACAGAAAAGGGTCTTACGAGTTCGCGACGGTATCTCTGACGCGTTCGATACAGGGAATGGGGTGTTTAATTAAACAAACAAAACAAAACAAAAGAAAAAAAAAAATCACGTATATATATATATGTATATTATAATATCCGACGACAAATGATATTAAATGTTGAGAGACACCGTCGCGACCATATAGCTCCATGAATCGCGATGCTCCGTATGAGTCACACAATTTAATTAACTATTAACAATAGAATTCTAAAGATATTGAAATCTATTTTTAAAACGTGGACGCATAAGAGAAGAAAGAAGAAATAAAAAAAAATCCATATTTTGCTATTGATTGGGAATCAATGAGATTCTGTATCTACAATAACGACGATGATCGATAAATACGTACCTCAAGATCGATCGTGATATCGATACGACTTCTAGCTGTACGACGTTTGTTTTAGAAGAAGTTCGACGTTTATTTTGGCTATTGGCATATTGCTATGTATAGTTGATATAGAGGGTATCGCACGGGGGGTTTAAGAGAAATGCCGTGATCAACGGCGTCGCGCCCTGCGGGCGTTGCTAATGTTTTAGGGTCATAGGTAGTAGAAAACAAAAAGAAGAAAAAAAAAAAAAACATTGTATAGATGAGGAATACGTACGGAAAATGGGGGCAAACTTGTATGTGTATACACATATGTTCATATATTTGTAAAAAAAAAAAAACAAACAAACAAGAAAAGAAACAAACAAACAAAACGTACAGGCGAGAACCTTTTTTTTTTTTTTTGTTTTATAATACGAAATACGTGACTTCGTAAAAAGTCAAAAAGTCGTGATTCCACATACGCAGGTCGTTTAGAACATTAACCGAACGATACGTCGGCGCGTAAAAGGGCCAAATTTTATTTCGTCCGGTTAATGATCATGTATCGTTCCGTTTCTTTTTTCAAGAGGAGAAATAAAAGAAAAGAAAAGAAAAGAAAAAAAAAAGAAGAAGAAGGAGCTAAAAGGGAATAAGTAACTGCGCGATGAAACGAGTCGAGGAAAATTGCGGTTCCTATCGAATGACTCGAAAGATATACTATTCCCTTTTTGCTCTTTGCCGTCTGGTCTGGCAGACCGTCGTAAATTAACTGTATTTAAGATTAGATCTCAACATGAAAATGTATGCAAGGCCTAACTACTACTATGTAGATCGTAAGCCTCGTCGTCTGATCAGGAAAAAAAAAAAAAAAAAAAAAACAAAAGAAA